TGACATGTGCAAAACAAAAGAAGACTCACTAGTTCAAGGAATAGCATTCTTTAAAGGGGTCAAATGATGTGATTTCAAGTTTTCCTTTCTCTTTGGAGTGTTACAAGCTGATTGTGCATAGATAAGATCCCTGAAGTTGCAAAGACTAAAGTCTCAAAACCAAAGAGATATTCTTTATCAAAGTTAAGACTCTGCCACGCCCCCCTAAAACGGCTCGTTCTAACACGCCCCCACATATCTACCTCACTATGTGGAAATATTTGCATAATGCCGCCCAAATGTGCACACAAAGAAAGAAGGCGTGGTTTCAGTAACCGCAGTTAGTGTTGAAGCAGTCATGTCAGGGAGACGGTGTGTTTTTCTAGGCAAAAGCAAAAGCACTTTATTTGGCCTTCCGAAAGTAGATGCATTTAGGAATCTTTAAGATTACTTACAACAGAACAGCAATGCATTTTATGGACGACCATTTCGTGAACCTAGGAGAGGAGGTCATTCTGACTTTGCTATGACAATCTGGCGCTTCAGAATCAGCTACTGTTTTGTTATTAGTTCAAGTATTTGCTATCGAAATGGATGCTTCTGTATTGATACAGCAGCAAATGCCATTACACAGTTTTGAAAAAGAAACACAGAACAGAAAATATTATTTTAAGTTTAAAAGTTAAATAATTTTTTCTTTGCCCCTCTTAATTACTCTGGAATTATAAACTGAATTATATAATTGATATTATTATTATTATTATTGAGTTTACAGGGTATGGTGGTTTTGCTGTTGTAGAAAAATTAATATATTTAAAATAGAATTCTATTCTAATCCTGTTCTGAATATATACATTTTTGAATGATAATGATAATAAAAACAAGATTGATAAGTATAATTCGGAGGATGAGAAAATCAATATAAGCTTGTTTTACCAGTGTTGTGATAATTATTTTTAAGGCACTCTATGTTTTTTTAAATAAATACTGTAGTAATAATAATAGTTAGTCAGGTAACATAAAAAAGACAAGGCCCCTCGACGCCCTTTAAACTTTTCCCAATCAAACAGCAAGAACGAAAGAGAACAGGCACCTTTGTTTATATTGCTTTGTGTAGAACAACGTTATCAAAAAATTATTTAATTTTAATAAAATGTACATTCGCCCCCCGCACTTTATTCGGGCAGGTGTGTTCACGTAGAGGTTTCTAGATTTAAATCTAGATTTAAATTCAAAGAGACAGTATCGATAGTCTGTGCATGACCTGACATTTTATTCATAGCCAAAATGAGGAGATGTGAACATCAGGAGCACTGAACACTCTCATGCAGTGTGCGTTTCATTCATACTCGAAGCCAGAGGACGCTCGCGCTCAGAAAGTCCCAAACAGACTCACAGAAGTAATAACTTACGAAGTGCAGGAAATCCCTTATATGTACAAAAACATCTGGCTATTGCTGTAGCTGTGCTGAATAAAAAGCAGAAACGTTTTCACTGATAAAACGTGAAGACAGTAAACACGAAAATATATGGTTTATGTATGTTTTTCAAGTTATCTCCATGTAATAAATAAATAAACTATATGAATAATACTGATTAACATATCAATTAGTATAGAAACTATAAAATATATTTCCTGCCTTATTCTGTGATAAAAATGGGGAAAAGGTGTTCGTAGTAGCTTTTATAATAAACCACTCATAAAATTGTCATTAGGAAAATATTGAACAAAAATATTAAAGTCCCTTGCTGCAGCTAACGTTAATTCCACAGGATACACAGCAATATAAACAACAGCTGTGCATGCTCTCTTCACGTGTTTCTTGTAAAATAATAATAATTTAATAATAAGCACACCGCTTCGCTGAGAACTCCACTTACCGGCAGCTTTGGACGTTATTGAAGGCATGTTGTAGTGCGCTAAATTACTAAAGGTGTGTGAACGTGATGGATCATCCTGGATGAGATCGTCAGGTGGAAGGTCATGATGTGGATAATTTTATTTACGGCTA